GATTTCAGCCTTCTAGCTTCTCAGATCCTCGAGTTATGAACTGACCCCAGAAAAACTTTGGCGGGCACATACGCGGGTACCACGCGGGTTTTGGCGTCAATTTTGGGGATGGGGTCCGTACGTGCATTTAGATTATGTCCCCAAAGTTTCAGTCCCGTAGCTTTTGCCGGCCTCGAGATGAAAATCGGTACAGACGAACACACAGACACATACACACACAGACAACCTCGCGTCAATATGCGTTTTCTGGAGTGCATAACTGCAAAAAACGCATAAAAATTGCATATATACGCCCACAGCGAATGCAAAACACCTACTAAAAAAATAATTTTATCTTTTGTAGCGGAAATTCCAGAGTTTTCATTCGAAATGCTCAAAAAACTACCCTTAAATGATAAAGGGGTCCAATAAATCAACCCTGCGTGTTAAATCTCATACAGTGACCTCTGTAAGACTGCAGGTTATGAAAGAAATTGCTGCTAAGTTAGTGAGCGAATAGTGAAAAACTTACAAGGCACCAAAATAAAACGCACACTAAAAAAAACAAGAAACTGATTCCTATGCAATATTTTACCAAAATCAACTCGCAGATGGCAAGAAAATAATTTTTCAGCCCGTTTCTTCCGGAAAACACGCCGCAGCAAAACGGCAGCCGATTAAGGCAATTTTAAAAAGAGATACCTGAATTTTTGCGTCGTGTTCCTGAATACAGCTTTCTAAAATGGGGCATACAAAATCCTTGACAATTGACCTTTCGTGCAACCAGTGATACTTCATATAAATTGTATGCAGAACGCTAACCGCTTTTTCTCTGAAATATATGCATAAAAGACGGAGGAGCAGAAAAAAAACACATAACAAGCTGACGCCTTATCTTGAAAACTGGCCAATTGATCAATTCAACTCCATTCTTCCCTCTAAGAAGAACCTTCAAAACAACCAAAAGCAGTTTTCATCAACGAAGAAGAATCACAACATACCTGACTTCAGAAGGATGGCTGTCTTCAAGATGTTGCCGCACAAGTCGAACCAGAGATCCAAGCCAGTTCGGCGTCAAAGGATCCAAGCTCTGCAATGAGAATGCCATCGGCAAAATAGAAAAAAAAAACATTCAACTTTGATCAAATATTTATGAACATGTTGACGTTACCGTCATTTGATAAATAATACACAACTGCGTTCACCGGCAAATCAGAACAAACGCAAATTTCTTGCACAGCTCAGATGACGAAGACTATAAAAGTGGAAAATTCCGAATTACGTAAAAATAACGTACGGCCACACGGTAATCGATCAAAGCCTTGATACTTTCGCTTGGCCTCCCATCGGCACAGCCTTCCACCAGCGCATAAAGTGCTTCCGGAGATCCAGCATAGTCACCACTCTGATGCAATGCTTCAATCATACTAATAAGCTGATGGATTCGTGCACGCTCTTCAACGCCTTTTCCTTCCCATTTGGCCTGCAAAGCAAAAGCAATATCTTAGTAAAAAACCGATTTTTTTTCCTGATTTATTGGATATAATTAGTACCATCGTCCCTATAATGGCCTACGAGAAGCAACATCATCGAGACAAAGCTCAAGATACATCACAGAGAGCCCTGCCATGCTTTTGTCCAATAAATTCGTTAAGCTAGCAATCACTTCGAAAGGCGCTTTGAGCGCCGAGACGGCTGAGTAGACTGATCACTAGATGAAGCAACAGTAGTCAAAATAACTGATGAAGTTGCCAGTTGCAAACTTGAAGACCCCAAGCTATGACAGCCGGTTTAAGGAATCGAAAAGTAGTTTGAAGGGACCGCTAACTGATCCAAGAGCCATAAAATAATTTAAAAAAACCACTGGTGAAATGATAAAAATATCTGCGAAGGTTAGAAAGGAGATGAAACAGTGGGGCAATAAAAACAATAATTTTCAACGCAATTTGTAGATACTGTAAATGTTTTTGGGTCACTACCGAGCGCCAACTTTTTTCAGAAAAAACAAAAATGAAAGGGATTTTTACGCGTCTGATTAGATCGAGCTTAAAATGTTAATGAAAAGTGTGCTACTAACATTTTTGCAAAGTTTTAACGCCTCCTTCAGAAGCTGCAACAGACAGTGCCAGCTTAGCTGCTGCAAATTTTTCCCACTGGCAACAAGCAATCGTTTAACACCAAGAAGCACTTCATTTATCACTTTCTGGCCGCCAGCTTGCATTGCTGGAATCATACATGGAAGAGCAACACACGGATGACAGCGCAAATTATCCACGTGCTAAAAAAACACTCCCTTTATGGGTCTGTTTCAAATTTTTGTGCACCAATCTTACAGAATCCTTGAATTATAAAACAAAAGCAGCTTTGAGCAAAACCCGAAAAAAAAGTCTAATGGTACAGTGAACCCTCTCTCTCTCC